AGAGCACAAAAAAAAACCCCTTTCTTCTTGTATACTTCCTGTACCATCACAGCTACAACACTCCAATCCAAGCCAATAGAAAGACTCCTTTAGGAGTCTTCAGTCTTTTATCAACATGATTCATGGTGATTATGGGTGAAAATTATGTAATTGAGACGTATTACTGTGAATAAGAAGCGTGTCCTTGTAGTACTGGAGAGGCTTGTGTGTCCCAGTGATCCTCAGAGCTGTGTTGCCCAGTCTCTCTCACTCCTGGCGAGCAGGCCTGAGGCAAGGTTCCAGAGAAGTCATGGTCCAAACCTCAAGTCCTCAATGGCAGATCAAGCATAAGATGTCAGTATCTCAATGGTGGTAAAAGATGAAGGAAGGCCACAGCAAGACTGAGGTCTTCTGTCATCTAGGGTTTTCCCAAGCCACTGAGATCAGATCTCCACCTTGTCAGGATTGTGTGGTTGCTATTTCCATGCTCCTGCTCCTTCACATTAAAGTCACAAGCAGGCTTCTACCACAGAAAACAACAGTCTCCTGTACCAAGCTTTGTAGCAATGGATGAGTGGTGACAGAGACAAGACTAGTGAATCTGGCAGTTTCCAGACACAAATTTGCACCCAGGCAGATGGTTGTCTTGTACCTGGTTTGAGACAGGGGTGCAATTCGACAGCTGCTACTGTGACTGAGAAGTCCTATTCTGGATCCCATCTGCTCATTGTACCTGGGGAAGTGGCTAGAAAAGGTATTCTACACCTAAGTTGTCTTTTCTGCTCCTGGCTGGATAACTGTATCCAGCAGGATCACTCTCTTTGCGGTTGAAAACATCATAAGACAACAATGATTTTCGCAACATGGAAAGTTTGCACCTTGATGGATAACCAAGACAACAAACAACCAGAAAGAACTCCTATCCTCTCCAGGGAATTAGTGAGACACAACATCAACCTTGCAGCTCTGAGTGAGACAAGACAACTGGATGAGGGTCATCCAAGGGAAAGGGTTGGAGACTACACCTACATCTGGAAGGAGAAATCGGCCCCGAACAGACACATCATGCATGAGCTTTGCCATGAAGAATCAGATCATTAATCAACTTATGGACCTCCTTGTGGCTGGGTTTTTTGTTGTAGCCATGCTGGTCTAAGTACAAAGGCAGACACGGTTCTTTGGATAGATATGATATATTTTATTAGACCAACTGAGTAGTTGGAAAAAAGTTCTTAGCAAGCTTTCAGGCACAGTCACCCTTCATCAGGCACAGGGAGTCTCTGCTGGTCTGAGACTCCAAGGAATGAGAGAAGTTAAAAGTGTGGCAGGATGTCAGTGAAAATGTAACTTAGATCTGTCACAGGGAGCTCCCTGTGGGCATTGACAAACATCTCATGACCCTCTGTCTTAAGATCAGCAACAACCAGTACGCTACCATCATCAGTGAGTATTCCCTAATGCTTAATGCTGACGATGATGTCAAAGAACAGTTTTACTCCAACCTTGATCATGTATTATCACTCCAAGGAGGACAAGATCATACTCCTTGGTGGCTTCAATGCCAAAGTTAAACACGACCCAGAACTCTGGAGTGGCATCATTGGGAAGGAAGAAGTAGGGACAGCCAAGTCCAATGGCATCCTTCTGCTGAGCAAGTGTGTGGAGTACAGTCTTGTCTCATGAACACCATCTTCAGACAGGAGTGATAAATACAAGACCACTTGGAGACACCCTTGGTCTAAGCATTGGCACCTCCTTGACTATGTTACTGTTAGAGCCCATGATCAAATGGACATCTGTATCATGTGAGCCATGCAAGGAGGAGATGACTGCTGGGCAGATCATTGTCTTGTCAGATCCATTATGAACATCCAGCTTGCTCTGAAACCCTGAAAACAGCCAAAAGCAATGCAAAGGACTCTTAACACCAAATCTCGTCAAGACCCAAATGTCTGTAAGGATTTCCAATAGCGTATCCATGGAAAGCTCTTGGGTCTGTCCACAAATGAAGGTAACATTGAGGAACTCTGGAAGGGATTTAAAGCTGCCATCCATATGGCCTGTGCTAAATCCACTGGCTAATACCACCTACTGAAACCAAGACTGGTTCAATGAGAGCAATACCACAATCTAAGTCCTCCTTGACTGGAAGAGAAAGACTCATTCTCCTTGGCAAAATGACACCACATTTCATCAGAAGGAGACATATCAGCTTCTCAAAGCTGACAGCTCAAAATCCAGGAAATCAAAAAATCAGTGGTGGCAAGATAAAGCCAATGATATTCAGCTCTATTACATGCATAGTTTTGTCTGGGCAAGGAAGGCCATCTATGGCCCAGTTTCCCAGTCTTACTTTTCTGTGATTGCAGGGTAGCTTGACATTCCTGAAAAACATTTAATCTATCCAAACTAGATGGCAAGAGTACTTTGAGATACCCCTGACCAGTGAGTTCACTGTGGCAGATACCACCACTGAAGCCATCCTGCAGCACCCTGGAAAGGGACACCTCACCAACCCTCCTATCATAGGATAAGTCTGGTATGCCATCAAGGAAGTCAAGAACAAGGCTACTGGACTGGATGGATACCTGATGAAATCTACAAGACGGCAGTAAGAAACTAGTACTGAAACTCCACAAATGTATTCTACACATTTGGAACAATTAAGAGATCCCTGGGGACCTGAGGAATGCCAACATTATGACCATCTTCAAGACAGGAGATACATCTGTGTGTGGGGAGTATCAAGGTATTACCCTCCTTTCCATACCAGAGGAAATCCTGAACCATCTCCTATCTCTTGCTGAGGAAATCCTGCGAGGATGTCAGTGTGGTTCCAGACCATCCTGTGAGGCAATTGACATAATCTATGTTGCCCACCAGGTCCAAGAAAAGTGTTGGGAACAACAGAACACCATGAACAGGTCCTGCATTGACCTCACCAAGGTCTTTAATTCAATCAATCCCCTGTGAAAAGACCTGTAATTTGTGCAAACAGGTCTGTGGCTCAAGGATTGGGCTCTTGAGTCATTCTCAAGATCCATCACTGAGCCATGGTAGAGATCATGCTCAAATGAAGGGACTGCTGATAACAACAAGAAAGAGTGGACTCCTCCCCTGTACCAGGGATTGATGAGACAGGAGCCCAGCAACCTTCCCTTATAAATATATTTCGCTACAGTGACCAACTGACTGCTTGAGCAGAAAGCAGTCTGGGAAACAGGGGCAATGTAGGACCTTTAAATACAGTACTTCCTCCTGCATTTTAATCTTTTGACTAGTAATGCTTTTTGACACCATGCATTGATGAACAGAGTACTTCTGTGTTTATGTAATGCACTTCTTTACATCTGCCTCTTTTCTGTGGATGTCTGATTTTCCTTCTACTGAATTCACAATATCTCAGAAATAGTATGGTACTGTACATTCTCAGATGGGAAGGATTCAAAAGTGTCTTATCAACACAGTTGCATCAATGTACTACGTAATCCTGTATTTATTTTGATATCAATCATTGGGCCAGATGTTGGTGGAGTCATTCTGTCTACTACATGCAGTACCACTTCTAGTGTGATGAGTCCCAAGCTTTGCAATGTTGCTATATGCCCACAGGGACATGTGGGAAGGGCAGGAAGTATATTTTATTGCTGTCTCTGCATGACTGGCAGCAAAGGTGCAATCCATCAGCAGTTGTACTCTAGACCTTAAAGAAACTGCATAATTTATTCCCTCCCATTGCAGCACAGAATCTAACAAGGTGCTGCCATCAGCTCAGGGTAGATAGTTATTATGATCTAGTCACTAATAAACTGATATTTATAAGTATTTTTTAAATCAGAATTTGAGCAAATTTTTTTGAGCTGATCAGTGACAGTTCTTCCACCAGTTCTTTGCTATTGCAATTTCTTCTTTGCCAATGCATATTCTCATTCTACTTGCTTGTAGTTAGATGATTATTCTATGCAATTCATGTATAAAAGAGTATGTGTTGGAGTGGAGGAAGGCATGTAGTTGTGGAGAATGGAACACTGTCTTTACATGTAACATAATTCATATGACTCCATGCAATTATATTATTATCTCTACCCAGCGTAACTCATTTATGTTCAGAGCTGTGGAATAAAAGGAGTGATTTTCCAAATTAAAAAAAAAAAAAAAAAGGAGAAAGGGGAGGAAATGTCTATGTAGTAAACTTACTATATCCGGGTCTGGCATTCTTAAACTCAGCAGTGCACTTCTCTGTGTAATCTGCTTTCTCAACCAGAAGCGTAGTATGCATTCAGGTAGTTTAAAAGCGCTGCTGAATGACAGAGCCAATTAGCCCCTTCTTAATTAGCCTTCTTGCTCTACCACAAGGAGATAGCTCTACCACTTCTTATTTAGAAGGCAGTCTGCCTAGAGCTCTGCTGTGTGATTGAGGACACTACTACCAGGTACAAAAGTTATCATGTAGATGGCCTTGGAGTGTTATTTAATTTTTCCTTTATTAATTTACTGTTTTAATTTACACACGGCTTGTAACATTCTATTATTTAGTTCCATGGATTTTAAAAATACACAATTTATTTTAAATTTTAATTTTGCATAGCAAATTAGTGTTAAGAACTCAATGGGTGCATCTACACAAGACACTTTACTGCAGTTGACTAATTAGCAATACACTCTGGTGTAAACTGCGCCAGAGTTTATTGTGTCGCATTAATATTGTGTGTAGACATGCCCAATAAAACTAGGAAGTATGATAGTTGCTGAGGTTACTGCATAGGAAATAGACTCAGGAAATTTGTCTTTTACACTTAGCTTTTAAATAAGTTTCTTTTATGAATCTCCATTTTAACCTCTGCCTTAAATGCAAATAAAAATATTTACTTATATCTAAGCTCATTAATGGTTGAAAATCATGCTGAGATCCTTGGATGGAAGAAACTATGATAGCAGAAGGTGTCACAAGCCAATACTTGAATATTATACATATAACCAAAATGTTCCAATGATAATGTGAAAGATTAATGGCGATTTACCTGTTCTTGAGGAAGATAACCTTGCTATTTCTAATGAACATGGTTTCTTTGTAACTGCTATTTCCATGGAATCACAGAAATGGTTCTCATTTTCTGAAGTAAGTATATCAAGGGAAGCAGATGGTATTATTTCCAGTGCATAGCTCCTCTTCTTTGGAAAGGACTCCTAGAAATTAAAAATGCAAGCAAAGTAAGTGAAATGGATTTGTTGCACACCAAAACTGCAAAAGATAAATAAAGTTCAGTAACTGTCAAAAATAATAGGATAAAAATTCAAAAGAATAAATATATCACTTCCTGTTGAAGACCAAATTTTAATAACTTGGACAGCTTACTTATCTTTTAGCATGAGTAAATAAATCTCACTGTTGAGTATCAAGTCTCATTTTATTCTGTGTGATTATATTGTTGCATATGGATTTCATTAACTCTCCATTTCGCATTTGGCAAATGCTTTGCTGCAGCTGCTCTTGCTGTCCCAGTTTCATTAGGTTCTGTTTCAGGTATATGTCCTTATCAGATGTCAAGAATATATTTTGTGAGACACACAGGATTACCTGAATTAATAAATGAAAATAATTTGCTTTGCAAGGATGTGGTTTCAGTTTCATCATGTTATATGCCAGGGGTCAGCAACCCCTGGCATGTGTGCGAAACATGGCATGCAAGGCCATTTTGCTTGGCATGCCATGGCCAGCTCCAGCTCTGAGTAGCTGCTGCCAACTGTGGAGCCCGGGCTACTCCCAGCAGGCATCTGGGAAGCTGCAAGTCCTGCTGCAAGCAGTCTGGGCTCCATGGTTGGCAGCAGCTACCCAGAGCCGGGGCTGGGTGCAGCAGGCAGGCTGCAAACATCTGTGCCAAGCTCCAGCATCAGTTCTGTACCGGCGCATGCATGTGTGCCTTGGAGCAGGCAGTGGGAGGGGCCTGAGGCAGCGCAACCCTGGTCTCTCCCCTGCTCCCAACACAGAGGTGATGGCAGGGCTCTGGAGCCTGACCTAGCTGTTTGTAGCCAGCCTGAGCTCTGGGCAGCTGCAGCAAGCAGGCTGCAAACAGCTGTGCCAGGCTCCACAGCTCCAGCCTCAACTCCATGCTGGCAGTGACTGCACATGCACCTTGGAGTGGACAGTGGGGACAGGATCTAGCCCTGAGGCACTGCAGACCTCGAGCTGTCCACTCCAAGGTGCACATGCAGTCACCGCCAACATGGAGCTGATGCCGGAGCTGTGGAGCCCGGCACAGCTGTTTGCAGCTTGCCCACTGCTTGCTGCAGCTGTAGCCAGCCTGGGCTCTGGGCAAACAGCTATGCCGAGCTCCAGAGCCCTGCCATCACCTCTGTGCCGGCACCAGGGGAAGAGACCAGGCTCGCTCTGCCTCATGCCCCTCCCACCACCTGCTCCAAGGTGCACACACACGCGCTGGTACAGAGCTGATAACAGAGCCGAACACAGCTGTTTGAAGTCTGCCTGCTGCAGCAGCCCACAGCCCAGGCTGGCTACAAGCAGCTGCTCTGGGCTCCAGACCCAGTCATCAGCTCTATGCTGGCAGCAGGGGAGAGGCCGGGGTTGTGCTGCCTCAGGCCCCCCCTCCGCCATCTGTTCCAAGGTGCACGTGTAGCTGTTTGCAGACTCCCAGCTGCAGCCAGCCCCAGCTCTGGGTAACTGCTGCCAACTATGGAGCCTGGGGCTTGCAGCTGAGCTGGCCTGATTCCCACCAGCTCCAAGCCCAGCACTGGCCCAGCACCCCTACTGGGATGAGGCCTATGCTGCCCCTTGCTAGGAACACTGCACCTTTGCGGGCTTAGCTGTGTGGAGTGGGTGGGTGGTTGGGCTGATGGGCAGGCTCTGGGTTGGGGCCTCAGCTGGCCACGCTGCAGCCCAGGGGCTGGCTTCCCAGGTCCAGGGGTTCCGACAGACCCAGAACATTGTTGGGTTGGACTTTGTCCGGTGGCCCAGCAGCCCTGCTCTGTGCACCCATGAATCTGGTTCTGTGTTTGTCTGCCTCTGGTCCTGTGTGTGTGTGTGTGTGTGTGTGTGTGTGTGTGTGTGTGTGTGTGTGTGTGTGTGTGTGTGTGTGTGTGCGCGCGCGCGCACACGTGTCTGGTTCTGGATGCTTGTGTGCATGTGTCTGTTCTGGTTCTCTGTGTTTGTGAACATGTGGTTGTGTGCATGTGCGGTTCTCTGTGTGCATGTGTATGTGCCTGGTTCTCTCTCCGCTCTCTTTTCCCTCTCTCTCTCCTCTTTCTCTTATTTCTCTTTTTTCTCTCTCTCTCACTGCAACATGTTTAACAAAAATAGTACACAACAACAAAGGCAACATTTATGCTTATTAAATATGCTAACATGCAGTGTGAACCTCCTCCCCAATTTTGTTTTTCTGGCATGCCAGCACTCCAGCACCTTCCAAAGTAGACGTTGTTGTTTTTTTGGCACTCTGGCCAAAAAATGTTGCCTACCCCTGCTATATGCATAACCCCAGAAATCTATAATCTACTGTTTGATGACAGAGCCCCTTAAAATGTGGACAGATCTCTTCAAATGTTCTCAGTGTGCAGTACTACTCATACTAATATTTACCTTGGTTATTTATTTATATATGGATTTTGGGAATAGAAGCAATTAGAGGTGAATATTTAGTGGTAATGGTTTCCTTGTAAATGGGAGACATCCCCTTCTATCTACAGGCTACATACTAAATCCAAATCATTTGATGTCAATAGAAATACTTCTTTAATTACACTTGGACTAGTCCATAAGTTAGTATTTGTTTATTAGAGATGGATTCTAGGAGGCTGAGTTCCCTATATTGACTAATATAGAGGGGGACGAAAAAGAAGTTAGTAGTCAGAAAATGTCACGTTGCTTCTGCTAAATCATGAGATTGAGTGATTTACAATACTGTGATCAACCAAGTAGAATTTGAATGGTTCAGAATAGGGCTGTGCATAGCTTTAGGTGCTGATTCAATTTGGAGGAGATCTGGCCCAATTTGGTGGCCAAATTTCCAAATCCGAATTGAATCAGGGGACCAATAAAAAGGTCTGAATTGATTTGAAACTCTCTGAATCTTCTGAAAAGATTTGGAGAGATTCAATGATTTGGACAGCCCCACCCACTGCAGTATCGAGCTGGACCTAGACTTGGAGCTGGTAAGTAGGGGGCAGGGGAGGGGGGAAGGGACCATGGGGGGGACCCCAGCCAGGCCCCATTCCCTGCCTGTGCCCCCAGACCCCCCAACTCCCACCCACTCTCCCAGACTCTCCCCATGCTTGCTCCGTCCACCTCAGCTCCTGGTGCTTTAAAAGAAGCCCCTACTCCGCGAGTGCTGCAGGGCTGAGGGGGGCAATCCCTGCTGCCCCCCACTGGCCCACGCTGCATGGGGGGCTCTGCATGGGCCCCCTGACCCCTTCCTGCTCTCCCAACCCCCTCCATGGCTGCCCTGCCCACCCCAGCCAAGGTTCTCTCCAAGCTACGCGTGTATGTGGCTGAGCACGCTTTAAAACCATGCCACACACAAATTTATTAATGCCGCACACCCACTCTGAGAGGAGCTGGACTGTGGCTTCCCAGAGAGGAGCTGGGCAACGAGCTGGGTGCGGAGCACAGTGAAGGCAGTGGGGCTGGCACGGGACACTTAGTGGAAGTAAGCTCAGGCAGTGGCTCCTCCCCGAGGCAAATGTGCTCCCAGAGGTGAGGCGGGGACTGGGGCTGGGGCTGGGACCAGGGAACTGCTCCACTTCCCAGCCCCAACGCCATGTGCCTCCTTGCTCCCAGAGGCGGGGGCAGCACGTTTTTTTAGCCATTTAGTGGTTTGTCTTTATTGTCACTAGTTTATGCATTTGAATTTAAAAGTATTAAACAGAAAAAGAAGTTGCAAATGGTGTTGTTTTTCTTAGAAGAATCCTAAACTGTGTAATCTTGAATTTGGGGGTGCTAGTTACAGCTGTGTCTAAGGGCATCAGCAGACAAGTTGCTTTGGGTGTTGTGGGGCAGACTGAAGTGGTGTGCACCAAAAGGGGGAGGCAGGACTGAAGCAGCATGTCCACGGACCACTACATCTTAGAGGGAATGTTGGCCCCAACTCTGGCCCTTTAAGGAAAAGAAAACATACCCTCACAACCTGCTCCAGACTCACTGCTCCTGCAGCAGCCTCAGGGCTTCAGGGGACTCATAAAAGAGCCCTACACGTGGTGCGGGCAGTGGGGGACAGCAGGGATCATCTCCCGCTGGGCAAGAACTGGCAAGTCCAGGGGGTTTGGGGTTTTTTTTCCTTAAAGGGCCGGAGCTGGGGTGGGCAAGGCAGTCATGGGGGGGGCCCTGGGACAGCAGAGAGGGGGGTTAGGGAGCTCGTGCAGTGCCCCCCACACAGCGTGGGGCAGCAGGGATCGCCCCTAGCTCAGGCAGCACCCAGTGAGTGGGGGCTTTTTTTCCCCCCAAGTGCTAGGAGCTGGGGTAGGCAGGGGATGGGCCTGCATGATTCAGAGAGCCAAATCTCCAAATCAGATTTGGCTGAATCAATTCAGGACAGTGATTCGAATCACTGAATTGAATCTCTGTCCCCAAAATCAGCCAAAATTGAATCCGAAGCAAATACTGTGTCACACAAGGCTAGTTCAGAACATGAGTAAAAAATAGCAGCCTGGCACTGGATCCTTAATATTGTGTTTCTTCCCCAGCAAAAGACAACGGAGAATCCAAAGGCACAGTCTCACAGGAACAGCATGCAGCTATCCTGCATCATCCAAATGCCCCCCTCCACAGCCCCAATCTCACCCACTGACTCCTCAGTTTACATCTTCACTGACTGCCTGTCTTGCTTGCATATCAGCCTCTGGCTTCTTTACTATTGACTCCATCCAGGAAGAGCATACACCAACTGCAGATGTTTCCTCAGCCTGCCAAAAGGTTTTTAAATCCGAAAACTTGCTAAGAAAATTTTTCCAACAATTTAAGTTGGTCTAATAAAAGATATCAGATTTACCCAAAGAACCTTGTCTGCATATGTCCTTAGACCAACGTGGATACAACCGACACTCTTGAAAAAAGTTTGGCATTTTATATCAACGCGATATGATAAGATACTGTGCAAAAGGTCAGAAAGTACCATGTGTTAATATGTCATACCAGGAAATCACCACTTATAAAACAATGTAAGAATATGCTGACCAGA